CAGTGTCTCCATCCCCTGGGCATCCATGTTTTCTTCAGTGCTAAGGAAATACATTCCCTACAAGAAATATAGGCTCCGTGAATCATCCTGACTAGGATACCTGCTGAATGTGGTCCTTCTTCAGAGTGAACATCCTGTTTGTAATTGTAGCAAAGATTGCAGGCATAGGGTATTCTAGAGGGATGCCCCAAAAAACAAACAACAACAACAACAGAAAAAAAAAACAGTCATTCAAAAAGTATCTTCCACATCTGCAACTTTGAAACAATTGTCTAATTACTAAACATTATACACTGTGCTTTACTGCATTCAGGGCCAGCCTTCTCTTTGTTGAGTATCTTATTGTGGGTGTCTATGGACTTCAAGGATACAGTCTATTAACTGTGAGAATTTGCTTGCACTTTCATTTATTTCAGTGGAATGAAGAAAAAAATACAGATTGGGGGTTAATTTGGATAGGTGTGCTGCTGTAGGCTCTGCACAACTCTGCCCAGTCTCTAGCCCCAACTCTCATTGGGGCAGATGAGTGTGTGCATATCCTTTCTTGGCAATGTCTGCTATCTCTTTATTTGTACATTCTTTTGACACAAAACACAGAAAATTGCAACTTTCATTTCCCAATACTTCAGGAAGGTTTCTGTACGTACCTCCAACGGGAGCCAATCACATCCTTGTTAACAACAAGAAAACCAGTGATCTGGGGGATGTTTCATGCCGCATCGGCCCTGGGAGAACTCTTTCATTTCACATACTTTGTCTCCACCATGGAGCTGGCTGGCATAATGGACTTTTACAAGGGGCTCTGAAGCAATTGGCAATTAAGTGGTTTGAAGGGGTGCTTCTGGGTTGCTGTGAAAGGCTTCAGGTGTGAAACGCTTGTTTTCAAGAGCACTGAACAAAATGTATGGTTGCTTTCAGCACCCCCCTTGTCCTTCCAGAGAGAGGGGGGGACTCCGGGGGAAGCAAGGACACTCAAGAGCAATTTGCTATTCAGCATCTGAATGCCCGGCGCTTTCTTCCCCCCAATCCTTGTGTGGCTGGTGAGGGGGGCAGTTTGAGATGGCACAAACAGCGCCTTGCACAATGGTGGATCAAGAGAGAGGCAGGGAAAATGAGGCCTGGGAGAATGGACGCCTGAATGAAGGGAAGCCGGCTTGATTGTTAATTGTGGGTAAATGTGTTCCAGGAGTGAAAAGGGTTCATGGGCTACTTTAAAGCTATACCCAAGCAATAAGTACAGAGAGTAGCGAAATAAGGAGATGGTCCTGACCCTTTTAAGGGCTATAGTAGTACATCTGGCCCACTTGAAAAAGTAAATTGAGAACTGTTCAAAAAGGTAGGCAAATGCATATGTGTGTTCGAATCCTATTGCTTGCAAGAAGAAAAAAAATCTGGCAACTCCAATTCACAGGCAGCCTGCACTTTAAAGTCTATGCTTTTCTTCTTGAGTATTAGTCAATAGGGCAAAAGATAATATGCAATAGGACGCTGTGGAATAGATAAATATTTAAAATATGACTTTTCCTCAAGAATACAGCCTTCTATTCTAGGATGAAATGTATTTGCACCGGAGCCAGCACAGGGGTAAAGGAAACTTCAAACAGTCTTCATGAAGGATATTGTTCCCTTAGTTCTGTTTCATGTCACTTTCCCTCGTCTGACCTTTACTTCCAACATATTGATTTTCTCCTAACCCAGCCTTGCTTTGCAGAAAAAAGGGGTATTGAGTCTTTGAGATGCTTACATCTCACTATTGTACATGCACCCTTAAAGGTGAAGGAGCCCCTTTCAGGAGATGGCTATCTGACTGACAATGTGATTAGGACAGGCTGAGTTTTCATTTGAAATGGAGGAGGTCACGTGTATCAGTCTGGGAAAAGAGACACGAGGGGACCCGGATTGAGTTGTCTTTTAAATGTTTCTCAAAGAGTTCTGGTTTTGCTCTAAGCAACAGCTCCTCGGATAACATACATGCAACGGCAACCTTATCTTTGTTAATCGAGTCGGGGAGGTTTTATCACTACTGGATGATTTCTTTTTTGAATCCTGAATGTTTCCCTCACATCAAGTGAGAGCCATCATTTTCTTGGAGAGTCTTTTCTTGTCAGGATGTTTAAATATAGTTGAAGCAAGCATTACACTATTGGGACTGCACTCTGGCCATATATCCCATGACGTCATTGCATCATTGTTGCCAAAGGAAGGTAAGCGGTTAAAACTGCACATACTCAATAAGGACACTGAAATCATTTTAGATGCTTTGGAGTTGGGTCCTCTTTGTAGCCAAAGGAGAGTCCCAAGAGGAAAAAAAGGTCTGCCTCACCTTTCATTCGTCCCACCTCATTCCAGAACACTCGTCTGATCCTGTCAGCGGCAACATCTGGTACAGTGGTCCAGTTTGTTGCCCTGAGGGTTTGACAGTAACAATTTCTGTGTGTGGCTTTGAAGCAAAGCCAAAACAAGGTTTTAACAGTGCGTTACTCCATGGCACACATTGGGTGGCTGGGATGTTTGTGACGTTCGGTCGTCACATCCTAAGGACTATTTCTGCTAAAAATGTGTGTGATCTGCTCCACCATCACAGAGAAGAGGGAAACTAAAAACTTCCATCTTCCATGCAACTCAAACTACAGCGTGTGATAAGGTCCATCCAAATAAAAAGGCTGTTAGCTTTTGTCTGCCTAGACCTTGAATCAAAGGTATTGTGGGAACTGGGAAAGACCCACATGTCTAAGCTCTGCCCTTTCCTCACTCCCACACTGGAAGTTAGCCCAGATGAGCTTTTTCTAATGCCCCCTTCCCAGTGGTGGAATGAGCCTTCTTTGAGTTTCTTTCTGAAAACACTTAGAGTATCAATACTCCAAGATCTCTAATCAATTCCCAAGCTGTGCCCTTTGAGCTCTCTGCTCTCCTACTTTAGGACTTCAGGGAAGGCAACATGAAGGCACTAAAATAGACATGTTGAAGCACAACATTATGACCCACTGCTAAATCCATGAGCTTTGGATTAAAATACGAATTACCTTGAGTTTTCCCTTCAAGGACAAAGAATGCAGCTTTGAATTCAGGTTTAAAGCTGCACTGGAAGCGCTGCAAAATGTGCTGAGCAAAAATCACAATTGTAACTGCTAAAATCTCTCGAGCTCATTCCAAAGGTTCAGTCAGGGGCCGTGCTTGTAATTATGTCTCTCTCATAAAGCATATATGCTCTCAGTCACTTTTCCTGCTTCAGTCACATATCGCTCCTCTATCATAAGAAGACATGGAACCAGTTTCATGGAATGGTAAAGATTCACATGATCTACAGAGTAAGTATATTATACTTTCCCAATCCACTACCAATGTTGCCCAGCAATATGCTACATCAAATTGTAAGTAGCTCCTGTGTAATGGGAGCAAGGAAATTGTCAGCTAACTGCAGCTCCAAGTGTACAAGTTCTCCCAATGTTTTGACTAGTAAGGAAATGCAGCTGTGAACCATGGTGAGCCGTGGATAACGTGGAGGTCTAGGCTAACTTCTCAAAGTCCTGCACTCTGCTGTTCTGCAGAACTCATTGATCAGGGCCCTCCTGACTTCTCTTTGTGTTGTTGGTTCAAAGCCCTTATGCCTTTGTGTTTATGCCTGGTCTTTTCAGCAACAAGAAGTGGCTAATAGATGAGGCAGTGTCTCCATGCTCTAAGGTCAAAGGTAGCTCTTTCTATCTAAGCATAGATTGCTCTGTCACTTTTCAATGGAACCTTCTAACTATGGCCTATCTACCTTTTATTGGCACTCTAGGAGAGGACATTTTTTTGTATTATTTCATCCCATTCTTATGTCTCTCTCTCCTTTGGGAGGAAAATGTCAATTTGTCAACATAGATCATATGCACTGTTTTTTTCCATTTGTTTCTTAAATAGATGTTCTCTCAATTAATCATTTCTCTTATTTAAGAAATCAATTTTTAACAATTTCATCCCCTTGGACATTTCATGCTGTGGGATTGCCAAAGTATATTCCACAAAGCTAACTGAAATAGCAGCTACAAAGGATAAATTTCAATAAAAAGTTGTGTACATGCTCAGTAGATTTTTGAAAAGATTACAAAATATGCTTCAATGATTCCTTTTTGTCATTTTGTCATTGGTCAAAATCTTATAGAGATCTGTTAAAGAGTATTTCTGAATATACTAAGCCATTTGGAAAGCAGAAAAAATCAAAATAAATTTAAATGAATAAAACGATGAGCACCTCAAGCAGTATTAGACTTTAAAATTTTCCTAATGGTTGCCAATGAATTAATTTAAGTGCTTCATGAGTTCTTTGAGAGTGTATAAAAATTGTGTTTGTATACATCTCAGTCATATTCCCTTTACTGATTCAAAGATATATAACTTTAGAGATATCTGAAACTTTAAATTTTAAGACCTTTGCTTCAAGTCTTTCATTCTTATAAATGAGAAAAATTGACATGACAAAAATCTAACTTGACTTACATAGCAAGGCGCATTTACAAGCAGAATTTGAATCTGTGTTCCCCACCACACCACACCACACCACACCACACCACACCACACCACACCACACCCACCCCTTGTGTTATGTAAGGAAACTCATATATTGCAGGAAGTCTAAATGCTTACTGGAACAAACGGGGAGTCTAGTTTTATGTAGGAAAGTCTAATCCCCTGAACCCTTCAGCACTCCTGCAAACAAAATTCACAAGGGCATTTTTTTCTCCTTCTTACGATTTTACTTACTTTTCTTTTATTCTCCGTTCCTAATTTTGGGTAACAATTTCCTACTCCATTCAAGGGGAATGACGTATATTACAGAGGGAGCTTCCCTAATGACGTTTAGTTGTTAAGAAGCATGCATATTTCACTTGCTATGTTCAAAAGGAGGGACCATAGAATTGAGGGAGCATTACATGCATTGTAAAACGTAATACTGATAATAATTCAGGGAAAACACGTTTAATTCAAGGAGGTTCACACTAATGTTTAAAAGTGCAGTTTGAGAGACAGACAGACAGACAGACACAGGGAGACAGAGAGAGAAATCTCAATGTGTGACTGGAAGAAACCAAACCCACAGTAAACTCAAATCCCTGAATGTTGGAAATGTTCTTCTTCTTCTTCTTCAACTCTTAAAATAAGCACCAACCATACACAGCTGAAACTCAGCCAGATGTTCATAGCTGCTCCACAATTCCGTCTTAATGTTTTATAAAACATTGTTTTAAGGCAAACACTGACAGAAGGCACAAAGCCATTCTTCGCTGTTCTTTCTTCTTTCTTTTACATACTGGATTTCTCTCCACACCCTTATCCCCTCCAGCTTGCCCTAGGAGGAACACAGATTATAAATCCATTCTGGAAACTCAGTTTGTTTAGAAAAGTTGCACAAAAAACACAGTGGTTCCTGCACTGCCCGGAGTCAAGGCAGAGCCTATGTGTGAGAACTCCTCTGAGGATGTGGAGACACTCTGCAAACACTTCTCTTATTTCAACGGCACACCTGCTTTTCTACCATAATATAGCTCACATGTCTTTTGCTTGCCTTTGTTTAGGTAATTACCAGAGTTTACAAATACTCCTTAAAATGTAATTACTGTAGATTTGCCTAGGAAGTTCCTCAAGCTTCACACAAGAGTTTTTGAATTGTGTTGCATACACAAAAATATACTGCTTTGAAATATTATGACTTGGTCCTACAAGAACTGTGTAACCAGATTGGAATTGTTGGGAATTATGCAGATTTTGTTCTTAATTTACAAGTTTCAAAACACTATTTGTTTACTCCTATTATCGAATACTGTATCTGCTTTGTAGTATATTCATACAGAGGAAAGAAGGCAATCACAACTCATATTGCACATGGGAATGTGACCCAAACACTGGCATCCACACCACTGGCCTTGGCGTCTGAGTGTCACATTATTGCTTCACCCTTTCTGCTCTATAACATTGCACGTCATCTGTAGAATGCTCGGAGGCTTTCATGAATTTGCTTCTTGCCAATGTTTCGCTATCAAGTCAAAGTAGATGGATATTCACTTGAGCTGTGCTCGCTATACTGCATAACACTCAATTCATCAGAGAATTGGATTCTTTGTTCAATGAGTATAATAAAAGTATGTGCTACAGACGGACTCTGTTGGGATTGCAAGAGAAGATGCATGGAAGGTACTCAGCAGAAAAGTGCAGGCTTCATACCTGTTGGCTATCTATATAACTACCGTCTCATCATAGCTGACAATTGTAACAGTGCCTCAGCAGAAGATTCTCTGTCTTAATAGTTATATAAATGCAACTTCCCATTTATAGTGTAAATACTAAACTATAAAATGGAAAGTCCACTCAGAAGACTGTATTAGCAGAACCAGCATTTTAAAACACCAAGTCAGCTATCAAAGGCCTCTCACACTGGAGTTTCAGCAAAGAGAAGGAAGATGCCACCACTCCCACAGGCCTTTGAGCTTCTTCATTGAGGCTTTGAAGCCCAGTACAAAGGCTCGGCAGAGGGCACCAGCATGCACCTTCAAGTGAGGCCACACAGGAAGAACCACTTTACATATCACGCTTCTGGCTGCATATTCTTATCCCTTAAGGCAGCTGAATGTATCGAGGCATTCTTATTTTCTTTTTAGCTGTCCTTTTATTTAAATGCATAATCAGAATAGCTTCCGGGAAAGAGAGAGACAGAGAGAGACAGACAGACAGAGAGAGACAGACAGACAGACAGACAGACAGAGACAGAGACCAAGAGAGACAGAGACAGACAGAGACAGAGAGACAGACAGAGACAGAGAGACAGACAGAGACAGAGAGACAGACAGAGACAGAGAGAGACAGAGAGAGAGAGAGAGAGAGAGAGAATAATACCATACTGGAGTGCTCTATTGATCTAAGAATTGCTTTATGAGCTCTGAAAGTTTTCTCCTCAGTGCTAAAGTGCCTTAAGTCTATTATTTGCGAATTAATAAGCTGTACAAAGCAGAGAGTGCTGAAAATGTAGTTGAGCAGTTTCAGATTTGTTCTCAAGTTCTGAGGATTGAAGTCAACCAGCATCAACGGTACAAAAACATTTTGCAAGTGTTGCTTCCTGTCTCATTGCCTTCCTTTGAACTGTACCCCAACTCCCACCTCCCACTCACTGCTTTCCCTGACTGCTCCCAAAACTGTCTGTCCTTTCTCCCTCGACCTCTCTCCAAACCTCAGGCCTACATTTGCAATTGTCTCACATGTGGAAGACCTGGAATTAAACAGAGAATGGGTCATGGCACCTACCAACCTACTACGTTTTCCTCTCTGGTTTTCATAATGATTTAAATGTACCAAAACTCTATCTAATGCTGTAAATTGCACTTGTCTTCAAGATCTCCATTTAATTCCCCAGGTACCACAGACTGACTAAAACATTTGCTTTCTTGAATAGCTTTCCAGTGAAACTGTTTTTGATTCATAAGAAAGTGCATGCATTCTTCCCAGGGACTCCCCCTTTCTCTGGGCTGAAATAAAAGTGCAATATTCAGACCTGCTACAACAATGTTGTGACCAGTTGTCAATAACCATGGGAAGATGGCAAAATAATGACAACTATTCTAGCCTTGGTATCACTGAGCTTCTGAGTTGACTCCAGAATATCCCTCAAACAACTGACCATGACCAGAAACTACGTGGAAAAAAATCATTCCTAGTTAAGTTAAACTAGCCCTCCATGGCTCCTTTTATTCACTTTAATTCCTAACTGCAGTACAACTTGCCTTTCTGAGTTACTTAAAGGTTTCTTATCAGTTCCCCTTCAGTTTCTTCCTTTCAGTCTATGGGTTTTTTTTTCAAAGACCAACCCTCTTCAAATTCCTAATTGAATGTCATAATATCCCTTAGTGTTTTAATGAATCGTGTTGGATAAGAGCCTACATGTGCATGTACAATAAAAATGTTCAACCTCATCAGCAATCAAAAAATATGAAACTTTCTTTGGTTCACTAGCTACCTCAAAGTGTTAAAGGTGGATGATGGTCTCCATTTCTATGGGGATAGGAAAATAAGATGCTTGCACATAGGAAAGACCAGGACCAGGGATATCAGTAATACTACTTCATAAGCTGCTGTTCCTATGACACTCCAAAACACCAGGCCTAGTTACTGAAAACTCCTCATGGACATCTGTGTTTCAAATATTCCTTAATCAGCAGAAAGGGACAACCAAAGTCCACTGGATAGCTCAAGAGGGAAGGAAGAGAATGTGGGTTAGTAGAAGATGTATCAGATTATAGCAGTGGTAAAGGAATTTGGAGGGCTCTGTTGAGCTTGATGTGTTTGGTTTAGATTGTAAAGTTTAGATCCCTGGTTGTTCTAGCTTTCTTGGTCAAAGTACTAGAATGAGAGTGGAAAGAAAAGTGATTTATATGCAGTTATCATGTCTATTGAAAATATTTTCTAAAAGAGAAGATATATGATGCTGCGGTTATGGGTGAATTACAACAAATAAAACATGGTACTATAATTCCTTCAATCAGCACAGTCACGTGGGAGTCTAACAGGTGAAGTCCACCCTGACCACCTCTTCTTTCTCATTCCCTTCATCTGCTCATCCATTTTAAGAATTCCTATCATGACTAAGTGAAATAAAGGATAAAGGCAACTGCTTCAGAGGTAATGGAATCAAACAGGAACAAAGCAAGAACACTGACATTCAATTTTCAACGATGGCCTCAACCCAAACTGTCCTGTTTTTCCTCATAGTCCTAGGTTCCACTGTTCCTAGAGGAGCCAATCCATATGTTATGTTCATGTAGTATTAGTCAAGAACTGGACCAAAGAGAAACAGAGATAGCAGGAACTGGTTAAAAGTGAATGCAGCTAACAGTTGATCTTCAGGCATTTTCTATGTGCAGTATACTTTATGGGGATGATCTCATTAAGTCATAGGAAACAGATGTCTTCATTATCTCTATTTTACAGTAAGTACAACTTAGATGAGTTAAGTGCTTTGTCCCTGGAATTCGGCTGTTAGTAACAGGAACTCAGGCAAGAAGCTGCTAGAGCCTAAGAATTAACCACTATGGCAGACATCACCATCACTAGGATATGAAAAATGGCTATGGCTATAGTCTCTTCTGTGCCTTCCCAATGGAGGTCCACACACCCTACTACCACCATATAGGTTGTAAGAAAATCAGAAGAGTGGAGCTTATGTGCACTACATGCCTACCACTGAGATACTTCCATGGAACTAGATTCGTTAGTCCTCAGAGATCTAAGAAATCTACTAAAAGAAGGTTGTTGACAGCTGTTCCCTACTTAAGCCAGCACATTTAAGGATAATGCTGAGGAAGTAACCCATCATAGAAAATGAATTTGATCTCAGACCTGCAGAATACCCCCTTCTGAAAGTCCACTGAAGATCCATCTAGCTGGGTCTTCCTGAGAATTCCACATGATCTCAGAGCTTTTCTGAAGCTATCAAGATAACCATCTTTCACAGGTAGCTTAAAACATGACAGGGAGGAAGGGAGGAAGGGAGGAAGGGAGGGAGGGAGGAAGGGAGGAAGGGAGGGAGGAAGGGTGGGAGGGAGGGAGGGAGGGAGGGATGGGTGGGAAAGGGAGATGTGCAGAGACATAAGAGGAATGAAGAAGGAGGGTGGAAATCAGAAGTGTTCTATTTACGCTGAATGTAGGATATAAAATGAAAACAAACCACTGTGACAAAAGCACTTCCAGCTCTGGGAGCCTTCTGTGTCTTGTTCCTAGGGAGGCCACAAGCTGCTGCTTTACAGCAGTGTCCTTCGCTTAATTAACATTTTTGGATCCACCACAATTCAGCTGGATAGCCATTTCCTTACAATTGATAGCCGCCTGGAAATGGCTTTCACAGCTGGGCCACGGATCCCTCGCCCAGGGAGCCTGTAATCGGGCCGCTCAACAGCCTTGTTCAGCCATAATTAATATTTCTAGAACTGCTGCTCAGAGGCCCCCGTAACTGTGCCACATCGGTGGGGAGCCAGTTGGATGAGGATTTACTGCTGGACAAGGGTGAGCCAGCTGTGCAGCCACCAGGCCTAGGTGGGATGGCAACTCGCAGGCACCACCTAAAGAGAAGACAAGACAGACAGGAGTGCATTCTGATGTTCCTGGTTCTGTGGTGGCCGAGGTTCTCAACATGAGATGACAGTTGGCATTGTGGGGCTGGATGCCTGCTCTCTCCCTGGCCATATGTGTGTACCCATGCCATGCGTTTCCCTTGAAGATTGGGCCTTGCAGAGGTTTAACCTCCAGCACCAGAGGCATTCTGCTGCGTACCTTGTGTCATACCTTTGATTCAAAAAAGGGAGAGACTGGAGACCAGAGAAGTTATCTGACTGTGACTCAGGATCCGGAGTTGTCACTCAGCCAGAACTCGAGGAGGAGATTTGTAATTTCTAATCTGTCTTTTATTCTTCCACCACTGGAGTTTGGATTGTTGCAGGGAGTGAATGTACTGACTGAGCAATGTGTTGGTACAGGGCTGGGTTGGAACCTTTTCTGTATGGCAATGAGGATTGATCTTGTTGGGATGGGAAGAGTAATTTATCAAACATCAGTTTTCTCAAGCAGAAACACACACATACAGGAGGGAGGGGGGAGGGGAGGAGGGAGGGAGGCTTCACACGTTTGCTGGTACTCTTGTCTTCATGATTGCCTCAGTGCTTGTGAGGGAGTAAATTTAATAGAATATGAAAACTCTTGGAGCTTAAAAAACACAGCTAAAAAATAAATACAAGAGAAATGTCGTCTTCCAGAAGCTATTGTGAAGTATATCAGGATTGTTCTATGCAAGATATCTATTATAGTGCACAGCAAAGTGAATTAGATGCCTACTAGATGATTTTCATGTTCCAGAAATGCTAACCTTACTGTATTCAGATGTAAACATATTTCTGAGCTGAGCATCACGATGTACACCTCTTGCTCCGGTACTTAGAAGGCTGGGACAGGAAGAGCCAGAGCTCTAGGCAAGCCTGGGCTACATGACACCTAGTCAAACAAAAGCTCCATTTATTTTAGCCTTAAATGTGATTTCTTTAACATGACACTGTTAAAATCCACCTAAAAGTCCCATGTTCCTTTACAACTTCTTGTCTTGCTAATCTTTCAAGGATGTAGCTTCCCTGCCTCCCTCTTGCTCTATGCTGACATCTGTCATCTTACCTTGCCTGCCTGTACTTTCTTTCTGAAATTCTTTCTTCGGCTAAACCTTATTCACCTATTAAGCCTCCATTTGATTGTTTCAGAATTCACAATCATGAAAGTCCCCACAGTCTTCCTAGGCTGGGTCTCCAAAATATGGTTTATCATAGCACATATGGACATATGGACTGAAGTAAAGCTTGGCCTACTTGGATGTCACTGCCTAATCAGCATTCTTTTAGGATGGAAACTGACATTTCTCTTTGGTTACTGGTCCCCAGTTTATCTTAGTTCTCAATAAATACCTGGGGATAGGGTAACTCAAACCTAATGATTAACAAAGGGGTATTGCACGTGCATTTCAGAGTCTGGCATATTTCAAGGCCTTGGCAAACATTTTTTAAATGAATGAATAGTGACTGAATTAATCACGGGGTATTTAATGTCTATAAAAATGAAATGTTTTCCTTCTATAAGACCAGCATCTGAAACTGAAAGGGAAACAAAGAGTTAAAAACAAAATAAGATAAATAATACTCTTTAAAAAATGTCGCTTTTAGCAATGTCACCAGAATAACTTTGATGAATCTCTTGACTGCCAAATGAGAGTCGAACTCATTTATTTAAAGGAGGGATTCAAATTAATTTTAACTAGTCCTCTAGCTGGAAGGAACTCTCAAAAAACCTTTTCCCGAGCCTGCAGTTTAAGATAAAATTTTCAGGTGCCTTTGTAAGTTGAGACCCCTTGAAAGTTATAGCCAATGAAGTTTTAACAGACATGATGTTTTCCACTTCCAGACATGAGAGCCTCCTTAATAGATCATCATCTGCCACAGCATTCTTGGAAGCTATGAGTTGAAAGCTTGGAAGCTGAGAGACATAGCTCATTCCTATAATCCTAGCCTCCCTACTTGGGAAAATTGTTACAGGTTCAAGAATAGATTCAGCTACCTAGTGAGTTCCTAGATAAACGGAGCTGCAAAGTAAGACAGTCTCAAAAATAAGTAAGCAAATCCATCCTGAGAAAATTCCTCCTTCAGTACAAATCTAAGTGTTGGTAAATGAACAAGAATCAGCATTTGATGTATTAGCCTTTTAAGCTCCATATCTGAGAGATTGTTTCTAGGTATGATACATGTCAGTTTGAGCATTGTCAAAAAAGTATTTAATTTTATTGTATCAATTTGAGAGCAAATTAGTGAAAACAGGGATGTAGCCAACTGGAAATCCATGCTAGGGAGTAGCAAAAATATTTGTAAATCACTTACTGCTATAAATTGGAATATAAATTACCAAGATTGGGGCATGGGGAAGAAAGAAACTGGAAAGAAAAATGCCAGTGCTTTGTGGGTTGTTACTGCTACCTTTGGTGGGATAGATAGTGAAACAGATGCACTGAGGAATGCTGACAATATAATAAACAAAAGCAGGCAAAATGGAGCTCAAATATTAATAATGGCTTACAAGGAACGACAAGGTAAGTTGACGTTTGAACAGTGTCTCAGCCTGGAAGGAGAGAAGTCAGGTAACATGTGATCTTCTGATTCAAGACCATCATCAGTTGAGTTAAGAGAGACATCTAAGAGGTAAGGTGAGGAAATAAAGCTGACATGCAATGCTATTTAAAAAGAGCTTTGGTATGGTAACTGATGAACAAAGCAAAAACATCAGCAGCCTGTTGAGTTTCCAGAAGTTTGTTGCAAAAGGAGCTACAAGTGGTCTGAAAGAACTGGAGTCATTGGACAGATTCGTAACGCAGTTATGGGTTAAAAGGAGTCAAAACGTGCACTGCTTTCAAGGAGTCCAAGTTCTGCCACAGCTTGATTGGTCCTAGGAGGAATACAGGTCTAGAAAATGTTCTCATATGGTGGAACAATCACAATGAAATAAAGGAAAGAGAGTGTCTTCCAGACATCAAAGTCAGGCATAAGCAAGGACCTCCTTAGCCTGGAGTAAGGTCTTTAGCAATAAAATGTCCTCCCAATGGGACTTCAAAGATCCCATGAACTAGTGACTGCCTTAGTAGCCGATAGCTATTACGTGTCTTGTGATGAGGTTATAGAGGAAGAGATAAAGCTCTTTCCTTTCTAACTTACATCACTATTCCATGGGACTTGATGGAGGGTCACCGTGTCTCCTAGACATCTTGATATTTGATCATGGTGGAAATCTGTATAAGATGTTAGGCACCTTTCTCAGAGTCATGGCAAATATAGCTTCATAGTGCAGAAAATATTGACAAGGCGATGAATGTATTAGAGAATAGATGAATGCCTACCAAGAATGGAAAGGGGGCTTGGAGAGAAATAGTCTGTGTCTTCTACTATTAATATCCCATCCCTGAAAGCATTTCTCAGTAGTACAAACTTTAGAATAGCTAAATTAAAGAGAACCTGCATTAACTTTGTTATCCATCATGAAGCCACTTAATTATTCCATGGTACCTCGTCAAAGATACCTGAACCAGGAGGGCTCTCATTAATCATCTAATTAATTATTTCATTTTGTACCCCCATTCATTTGTCTGGCAAACATTTATTAGATACCTCCAATGTGTAAGAGTTAGAGGCAGTTGCTGTTATGCAAGACTTACTCATACCCAGCCACAGCCATACACTCACTTGGTATTCCATAGCAGTAGGACTTACCATGGACATTTCTACACAAAAAGTCACTATGAACAAATATCCTCCTCCTCCTGAGGGTCCTAGAAGGGCTAGTGGATGTCAGTGCCTTTCAAGTGTCCTAGAAATAGCAAAGGTCAAACTAAAGATATTAGTTGAAAATAATTGATGCCTATGACATTTAAAGAATAAAATTAATTATCATAGCATTTTCACATCTCTATGCATATTTCTCCTTATTTATATCTGTGAAAGCATGACCTGTATGAACTCAGAGACCACAGTGACAAAGACACGAGCCTACATTTTTCTATGTTTATATCTACTTAAGACCTATTGCTTTTATTGGGTATACCAAAATGTAAGTAACATTATTCCTAGATTTGAAACTGCCACAACTGAAAGCAATTCTTTTACATATACCTAAAAAACTTGGGTTTAAGCGATTATGGGAATTTGACGTTAAGTAAGCAATCTGTATTCTCTGAAAGCACTGGGACATCTTACCCCCTCCTTCAGTCCTCTGTACAGTTTGGCTTTTGTTCCTTTCTAGTTAGGATCCCATAAGGTCTACCTACATCATCTTTTAAACAGCCCTATTATCCGGTTAAATCTTTAGCTTTATTTCAAACCCCAGGCTTAATTCCAGTTGAGATCATGCTTCCTAATTCTTCCTCACTCCTCTTACGGCTTCATGCCTGAGCTCTTGACTTACCTCAGAATTTCCTGTCAACTGTTGTGCTTGTTTTGATTAGTTACTACTCCTTCCCCATCACTCACCATTCTAAACCTTTCCTGAACTCACATGGTCGGACAACCTTATTTCAGTGGTCAATGATCAATATCAATCCTCATCTCCCTTTCTTCTATCTCATTATCATCAACAGAACACCAGTATCTTCAAAACCATATACCCAGCCTGTCCCTGTGTTATCTCCTTAGCCTTCTCTAGTTGCTCACCCATTACTTGCAACATCTGTTGATTTTGCCAAATTCAGCAAACCTACCTAGACCTTCTAGGTCTGTTCTGCATACTGTTACTCAGCCTTACTAAAGGATGTGACTCTTGGACCTTCCTATCCTTGATCAACGTTTCGTCATCCTTCACCTTTTGAGCCTCTAATATAAGACAGCCTGGCATATCCCCATTTTCAGATGAAGGCTGACCCTCAATCCACACATTGAAACAGCCTAGTACCAAGAATCTGGTTGTCTTTGGACAATTCAAGTTCAATGGATCAGAAGCTGAAGCCACCCTGCTTTTCCCTGCCAGGACCTACTTAGTATCTCAGTAGTGCCCAGTACAAGCATACTCTTGGGAATCCATTTTATCAATGCCTGCTTTCTCCTGGTCGCACTTCCTCTTATGAAGCTTATCTGTATCTTCATCATGCCTCCCCTGAATGTTTCTAAAGATTTATTAGCTCACTTCCAATCTGCCCACCTCAAATTTAGCCTCTATATATTCCCGCCAGATTTTAAATGAAAATAAAGTTTATTTCTCTACCTATGATGCACTAGTGATTTTTCCTAGGCTACGGCACGAAAGGCTAAATCCTTCATAAGGAAGTCGTAACTCCCTATAAGGAACCCTTCCTCGTGTTTTGGCTTCCTGCTTTGCTTTCTGTTGTGCTCTTCTTGCTCCTCGCTGCTCGGCTACTTGGCTACTTGCGTGCTGTTGCCCGGCTCTCTGCTTTCCACTCGGACTACCTCTCCCTCCTCCAGTTTTCCCACTGCCATCTTTCAACTATCTCCCCCTGTCTGCACATTAATAGGCAAGAGATTTATATGGTGGGGCTTTCAGGCCGTTGCTTAGGTATGCCTTCCACTACAAAATCCCACAGATCTCACCCCTTCCTTAGGCTCCACTTCCAGAAAATGTGGTCCCCTGTCTTCTGGCATCGTAACGCGTTACACATCACTCTGCTATTTGAAGTACAAGGCTTTGTTTGTGGCATCTTAAGAGCAGAGCTGTTTTGTTTTTCTGTGTACCATTGACACCCAGTGTGATGTCTGCTCACTAAGTGTCAGGAGAATAAATACTTGTAAAATTCTTAACTTTTGATGGCCACAAAAGGTGACATAAAGATTGCAATCTATGGGGTCTCCTCCAGAAGGCTTTTCTCTGACAGTTTCGTTTGGAGGGTTTTCAATGAAATCAACATCATCTCTAACATCCCATCACAATCAGCATCAGCTATATTTCAAGTGTTCCATAAACACATATATTCAGTGGCTACTATGCTGGTAAAATATGGCTTGAAAATCAGTGCTTACTATAGTTAAGGCAATAACGTAGACAAATACAGAAGAGTTAACTAACACAGACGGTGACAAAAATAAATGTAACACTATTCTTAATGCTTATGGTATTTACATTAAAAGTAATCTCCCTTTATAGAAAGTTGTCCTTCTGGTGAATCTGGAAGGTTTCTATACACTAGTGAAACCAGAGAAAGATAAAATATAAGACCAGAATGTTTATCTGTGTGGTATTTGTCATGTCAGTGAACTACACCAATAAGAACAGAAGGAAAAGAAATGCAGATAACCACTGTTGCCTTCATGTCCCTCGTGCCTGTTGAGTGGAGGCCAGGAAGGATGTTCAGGACAAGGAGAGACACACATGCAGTGTTTCTGGTCCAGCAGCATACTGGCATACTCTAGGTGCTTGGCTGCATGGATGTCATCCAAGACTCACTTCCCTTTATGCTAACGGCATAGGAAAAGAAAAGCCTGGAAGTAAAATTTAAGCCACATAACAAATGTTTTGTTCCCACAAATCTTGTTTTCCTTGTAGTGAGGAAACAAGGGCTTTAACTTTAACCACAAATTGTAACCCAAGGTGAGGAAAATGTCCAGGAAGAAAAGTGGAAGATCAGAAATAGGTTGGAACAAAGAGGGGCTGGAAGGGTGGGTGGAGATTAATCTTATTAGGGTCGTATATCATGAGGGTGTCAGGTGTGAAAGCAAACGAATGGCCTGTGTTTATCTGTGCTAAACCGTGTGGCTCACCCAAACATCCACTGTGCAGAACGTTTTTTTCCCCCAGTAATAAATTGGCCAAGTCTCAGGGCGTTGATAATAAAGTACGTTTACTGCAGTTAGAGATCTCTCACCGGGTTTTAGATGCGACCATCCTCGCCCACTCTCTTTTTCTCTCCTTCTCCCTCTCCCTCTCCGTTTTTTATCACTGCTGATTCGAAAAGCCCTTTGGAAAGATGAAGTAGGGAGAAATCAAAATAAATGGATTCTATTAAAACCGGCAATGCATCAACCGCTTGATAAAGTGATTAATAAACAGCTTCGGATGGTGATTGATTAAACTCTTTAATCAAAGTGCTAAACTGACTTAATATGGAGAGTTTCAACATGTTCAAAGTGTACATTTTCCCTGCCTACGGTTCGCAGTTGTTTATGTAACTTTTCTGAAGTGTATCCCTTAGGTCTAACCCTCAGAGGGCTGGGGCTCTGGAATGCATGAGAGTATGAAGTGTTGTACACTGTGCTAGCTGCTGAATGCTCATGAATTATAGGCGCTTTCCGTAAGGCAACAAGTCATTTTTCAGAATTTTGAGCCCCTTCAACACGAGTGTCTTTGCTCCCATTACTTCATAGCTCTTTAAGCCTCAGTGGGAAGCAGTAGCGAGGAGATCTAACTCTGGAAAGTTGCAGCTGCTCACATCCATTCCCTGTGTGCAGTGATTGCTTTATTTCAGGAGGTCAAGATTTTGATGGTTAGGAAGAAGGCTCAATTTTACCCTCAAGGTAGAGATTCACGATCATTATGAATGGGTATATTTCATCTGACACATTGAAGTATCAGTATCAAATCTCATTTTTGTCACAATTAATTCCCACTTATCAAGTGACTAAGCTATTTGACTGTTAAATCTGTGACTGCAACACACATTTGTTCAAGTCACATTCCCTAGAGACCAAATTCAATTTTTTTTGGAGTCACAGGTAGAGAGTAGGAGAGGGGAGAACAGTGTGTGGTAAGCCTGTGAACTAGAGAGGAACTCTGTGGCCTACATTGTGGTGCATGAAGTTCAGAAAATTCTTGTAGTTCTGCACATAGTTTGTAGTGTAGGGCACAACACTAGGAGTCATAGTGGTTGCAAAAAGAGAAATCTACATCCAAATTGATGGATGTTATTATAGAGTAAGTTATATCACACAGGGATAGAGAAGGCCTTTCTTTCAATGAATTAATAAAGAAATACTTGCCACGAGTTCCCCCAAGTCTACAGATCACACAGAGAATTGAATGGGTTTTGCAGAGCCCATCACAGTTAACTTGGTGTTGAAGGTCATAGAAATCAAGTTGGCTTTCATGGTACAAACCTATAATGGCATCTCTGGGTGGGTAGAAGCAGGAAGATGAGGAGTTCAAGACAAAGGTGAGTTCTATAGAGTAAGGTCAGCTGGTGTTACAACACTGAATCTAAAATACAGAACAGAATGGAATAAAATAGAAATAGGGGTTTAAAAATTATTAGTCCGATGTGGTAGGGCACTCAAGGAGGGGAGCACTAAGTAGTCCCAGTTTTTCTACAACATGCTATATACACAGAGAAGAAAGCAGAACATGAAGCTACCAGTGTGATGGGCAGTTGTAATTATCTTGAAAAGATTCTTCAAGGGCTATTTGATGGGAAATGGAGAATTACCAACTATATATTTCAGGAGAAAATTAGGAGGTTGCCGAAGCAAATGCTAAAGCATAGCTCTAGACCCAGAGTTCTTTGGCTTAAGTCCTAACCCTGCCAGTTAGAGAATGCATGACCTCTATGAGGAGCTGAACTGTTTGCACAGGCTTGCTGATGCTTAGCTACAGGAAGTAGGACAGCTGGGATTGTTGCAACAGTGACTGCAATCATACCCAGTCCTTAGGTTGATGTTAAAAGCCAAGGGTCCACTAATGTTGTAGCAAGGATTCTTAGTAGGGTTTTCAAAAAACGATCTTCTGAGTTGCAGAAATATGCTTCGGGAAACAAGCTAGAAGTGGATTTTAAACATCGTCCGTGGAGATAAAATACAGGAAGTAGGAAAATCTGTTCAGAGACAAACTTAGAAACTGCTAAGGAAAGTAATGAGGACATTTCTTACGATGCATTAGAATATAAAATTGGCATTCCTTGTGAGTCTAGAATTGGACAGAAATTCAGAGCACAAATGGATTAATATGTCCTGACTCACCATATGGGCAGGTTTTATAAGAATCTAGAGTAAAGGGAATGCCACAGGGACAAATTCAAATGCCTAGAGGAAGCCTGATTGGTTATGGCTTCTGTCCATCTTATTTAGACACAGTTTGGAACAACTGGCCACTTGTGACTCACTGAGGCTTGTTAGAAGTGTATTTGCCACATACAGAGAGACTTCTAGAACTTTGAAAATATGTATGGAGACTGCCTCAGGATGAATAATTTAACAGGTAACACTGAGAAGCAGCAAGACAGAAATGGATATCTGAAAAGTTAGGAGCACAAAGAAGGGCGAAGGAAGACAGAAGGGAGGGAAAACACAGGGTGGGGAGGGTGACCCTTATTTGCTACTTTGTTATATTGCATATAGTTCTGGAGATGGTGTTGCAGAGGCTCTTCCAGTCTGTTGGAATTTACATAAGTGACACGCAGCAGAAACATACCTGGCCTCAGTAGACAGACTATTAGAGGGTCACACAGTTATTTAGGGACAGCATTCCAAGGCCGAAGAGTAGAGTAGAAGAGAGGTGTGAGGAGAAATCTCTGGAGAAACCCATACCAAAGCTGTAGAACCAGAATGTAGATGGGGACTCACTGGCCAATGAGAAACAATGAAGTGGGGAAAGATTTGAAATGAGTAATAAGGTGTCAGACTCCAAAGTGAGCTCTTAAAGGAATAGTTGTTGGTCTCTCGTTCTAACAGTAGCTAGACAGTCGAGGTGGATCTGATTAGGTGATTTGAGTCCTTGAGGTATCATCAAATTCAAGCTTCATGTCTACTATCGCAGTGCTAGATTATGGGCATCTAAGCATCCTTTCCTTCATAAGCTGTACTTTCGGTCAGTTGAAATAGAACATGAAACAGTCAAACACCATGAACTTTTACCACAAGTGGCATTAGAATCCATACTTAGAAGGAGTGGATCACTTAATTGAAAGTGTTCACTGAGTATTCATCAAGGTCCTGCTACACATGTACTCTACCATAGGCAGTATGAAGTAAGAACACATCTAAAGATGAAAAGGGTTCCTTCCCCTAGTGTGCTCACAGTGTGGCAGAGTCATCCTATGTATCATATAAGAAAGGGCATGATTACCCAGGGGTCTGCAACTCTGATGGAATCTAAGCAGAGGTGGGGCAGAGTGGTGAGTGAGAACAGGAGGAGGGTCTGAGTCTCTCTGAAATGGCGAGGGAGAGATACATGCACTGAGATTTGAAGGATGCATTAGAGAAGCAGGGAAGAAATGGCTTGAGACAATCATGAAACGTTCTTCCAAAGCAGAAAGAAAACAATAAGCAGAATGTTTGCCTACATGCACGAAAGTGCAGACTCACTGTCCAACACTGCACAAACTAGGATGAGTATACATGGTTTGTTGAGTTATAATTGGAGCCAGCTGATTTGCCAGGTTTGTACCTGATAAGGGGAGTGTGGATTGAGAAAAGGTAAGTAAACGTGTTAAGGGAAAGACAGAGACACAGGATAGATTCAGGAGGGCAATTCAGTCAGTACTGATGATCCCTAGTTTATTCTTCACCATTCTTAAGTACCCAACCAAAAGGGGGGGGGGATGTGGCAGAAGACTTCTTTTATCATGTATAAGTGGCAAACACACTTGCTTCCCTTAATCCTCCAGGCATTTGGCAGCTATACCTGTTATCCTACCTTCTGGGGCAAGAGTAAACACACCAGAGCCCAAGGCTGTTGTTATTTAGAGAAGACATCTGTTACCAAGGCCAAAACATTCTGCAGTAGCCAAGCCTTAGACCTCAGGTCATTAGAGTTACTAAGGACAGTTTTGAATTCTGGGACCTTGAGGCAAGATGAAGCAGACCCATCATTATGGGCCCCAACAATGGCTATGATCCTTGCACTTGCAAAATAGAGACAGGAGGAAAGAAGTTCAAGGTCATTCTTGGCTCCATAGTATGTTTGAGGCCAGCATTGGCTATAAGAGGTCCTGGCTCAGAAAACAAAAACAGAGCTGGACCTGCGACCTAATATGTGGTTAGACCTTGGAAGCACATCCACCTCCCAAACCAATGGAGAAGATCCTGTGGATGAGCAGTACATAAGGCCAGATTTATGGGTAGCAAGACTCATTTTCAGAATGCTAATGCCTGCAGCATTTACATCTCCACTGAACTCCCGAGCTTTGCAAAAGTTTCTAAAAGTGCAGATTGCTGGACATTTCAATTCTTCAGAGGATAGAAGTATCACTGATAGGTCCTGGCCTCACAGAAGAAATATTCAATATCTCAATCAAAGCCAAGGAGTGAAGAGCAGAGGGACCGATGGCTTACAGGAAGAGCTTACAGCTAGCCTCCAACTGTCTTAATGGTGTCAATAAAACTTTAAAATCAATAGGCTGATGGAGTGTCAACTGGAACACATCCCAGAAGAGGCTGACACTGTCACAGGGACCTAACAATACGCCTGCAATAGGATCTCTGACTCTCCCCATGCGACAGTCCCCAGGTGCCTGGATAGTGCAAAGCTTTGGAAATTCATTCAACTGCTATTTAGATAAAAGACACTACAAGCTGCATTCACATAGATTTTACTTAGCTAAAGATGATAGATGATGATAGTAACTGTTTGGGGAAACACAAAAAGAGACCTAAAAATATCAGTAGCTGTCTGAAAATGACATCCTTATTTTCTACACACAGTTTCTGGAATCATTGAGACCGTTTGCAAATATTTTGAAATATTGCACTTTGTCCATTGTGGCTGACATTCCTTAGGAAACATTTTGAAGGGCAGTATGAGTTCACATTCATTAGAGCTTATTAAAACTTTTTCTATTCTTGGACACTTACATTATTTCCAATATTGGACTTGAGTATGTTGTCCATGACACTAATGTTATTGTTATTGCCTTAAATGATGTAAACAGCAATCCCACTCACTGCTGTTCCGAGGATTTGAGACATATGTGACAAGATACACTATGTACATTAAGGCATCCTGACGTTTGAGGGTGAGTATCATAATTCTGATTTACAATGACAGAATAAGATTAAAAACTTGAATCACGTTGAAGTGGAAGGCTCAAGTCCTGTCTAATCAGTGTAATGCCACTAAACTGTCCAGGTTAAAATTAATCACGAATATTTTTATGTTTCTCTCTTAGCACTGTGTGGATATCATCTCAATAATTATTTAACATGTAAGGCACCACATGCACACAATACATAGTGTCAATCTGTCAATTTAAAAATCATTAAGGCATTCAGCATACAAGTAAACAATACTGCTGCATGCAGCAAATCATCTGAAAGAACAAACCCAGCTAGTAATCGACTTCAGTCTACCTAAGAGATGAAGATATCTTGCATGGTTTTAAAATAGCATAATTTAATTTAAAAATGCTTAGAAAAAGGTTTTGATAATTTCCCAGATCTGGCAATATTCGTTTGTAAATCCCAGTCCTGGAAATGGAGCTACAAGGATCATAGGTTATTCAAGGGAGTTTGGGATACTTACCTAAAACCAGGCCAGCCTGTGCAAGGTGGTAACACTCTACACAAGATACGTATTTTGGCAACACAATCTCAAGATATTTAGTTTGTTATCTTTTAATCAATAACGTTTATAAGTTGCGTTTATTAAGATTGATTTGCAAATGCCCTCCTGTGAGTTTGAACATACCTACCAATAAGGCTTCCTTGAAAGAAACTTCAAGAATTGAATTCATGTCTTGGAGAGGTTCCATCATTCATTTCCTCAACTCTTGAGTATTTTGGTCATCAATATTTCCCTCTATGGTACACTGTAGGTGAGGAATGGGCACTCCCTTTATGACAGTGTATGTACGGAGCATCCATGCAGCCCTCTGTGGTACCTCAGTGTGGGGTGCACCCAAGCTTCCCTCTGTGGTCCTTCATGGGTGGAGCATGGAAGTGACACATGAGCCACTCTCATAACACTGGTCGAATATTTCTAACTGCCAAGAATCATGTCTGTTTAATTGAAATTTAGAAGTAACTAAAATTACAAAACATCCAAGTGAACCCTTAAAATTCACTCTTGTTGCCCAGTGTTCAGAGGTGAGGTATACTACTGAAAAATAAAGAGCCATTCAGGAATTATTTAGCTTCAAGAAAGTGCAGTAAGAGGTTTCTGTTTTTCAACTGGGGTTGTCAGAAGGGAAATTACCTTTACTGGAAGTAAATCACATTATTTTCTTCGCAGGTGGCTCAATTTAGCTGTTTAATCTTAGAGAAATGACAGATTCCAGTCCAAAGGAAAAACTCTTGCTTCATTAACTTTGGAAGAATGTGAAAGATATTGTATATCTGTGTCTATGCTTCCGTCTGATAATCAGGTGAATAGGCTATAATTTTAGAGTAATTTGAAGCATAGAAAATAGGAAGTCTCACAAATAGGTGTGTCTTGGAGTGGCATGTGGATAGTAGCAGACTAAGGTATTTCTTTTGAAATAATATTTTGGTTTTACTGTCATGATTAATAACTTTTCCAAAATATATGTGTGTGTGTTTGTTCAGGCAGTTTTTGCAAAGGAAAAGGCCATGCAATTTTCACGACTGGCCACGTAACCTGCTCCATTTGGTCAAGAGGGGAAACTAGTTAAGGTAGGAGAAAATAGCTTAGAAAACCACACATGCATTAAACTAGGGATGCCGAAAGTAATGTAGATATATGTCTTTATTTTGCTGAACTCTATTACGATTCCATAAACTGTAAATGGAAATGGGACACATACATACACAAAGCAAAATGTATGTAAGAACTCAAGTATGTGGGATTTAATACAGAAGTAATCACAGGGCTTAATAGAGAACAGAGAATCCATGACCATGAGTAGAAAACATAATAGCATATTTAGAAAACATCTATAATACCAGAAATTATTATCACTCCTATAATGATACATTTTGCTTGCAGTAACGTGGTTTGACCTAGTATAATGCCCCACAAAATTGTGTTTTTATTAATTGGTGCCTCTAATTCTGCCACATGTAGGAGACACTAATGGGGCAAAATTCACATATCAAAGAGACTGGAAGCCTGCGAAAGCCACATGCTCAAGAAACAATTTCTAAAATAAATGGCAAAACTGAATGAAAGCTTAAAATCCCTCCGTTGACATACATTTAAACAATGTGTGGCACTTAGGTAGAACAGCACTCTGGGAGCTAGGATTGGAAGCCCTGAAAGTGTGCAAACACAAAAACATATGTATTTCATTTTCACTAAACATGAAAATAATGGCTACATTTGAGAAGGAATACTTGGGGTGAGAGGAGTTGTTGGAGTGAGCAGAAAAGAGGAAATGTGGTATATTTGTTTAAAAATTATTTTAAAAAACTTACTACATCCAATCACTGATCCACTCCATTAACAGGGGTCAAAGCTCACCCTGTGGGTGCAGCCTCCTCAAAGCTCCACAGTTTGTGGAAATGGTCTCCCACCACCCTTTGTATAAAGCTTGCTGGGTTTCTACTGGCATCTCGCCACAGGGTCTGGAATAAGTCTGGAAGTTCTAAATGACTGTCAACCAAGGTAGAGAGGACAAGGA